AGCCCATAGGTTTGACCCAATGTTTACAGTGACTGCGGAAAAACATTGCCGAAACTAAGCTGCTGCCAATAGTCGAGAACTTATGCGTCACCCAATACTTAAGGTTAGTTCAGTTTTTCATCGTTCATGTAGCTGTAGCTATTCGGAGAACTCCTTAACTAGGGGAATCGAGGTACGGCTTCTACATAAAGCGACACAATCGTTGAATTAACATAAAGTGGAAGCTTTACAGCGACACGAGTTGCAGACAAAATAATTTTCTGAATGGGTAGAAGTAGGTGAATAGTGAAGGCAAGAAGAGGACAGAACAGGAGAAGAACATCACTGGCTTGCTGTGAGAGCCGTAACTTACGTCGTTAGTTCGCAAATTAGTACGACGTTTCCCACGGTGATCATACTGTATAAAAAAGCGGTTAGAACACTTGCACTGTTGTGGTGTATAAAAACACAAAAAAATAAACAACAGTTTCACAAAAAAACACAAAACATAGGACAACAACCTTCACAGCAGCTCTTAGTTTGCGTCGATCCTTCACGCGCATGATCTGAACAAAACAGAAAATGACGGACAACACGGAACATAGATTCTCATTCTCAGACATCAGCACAACATTGAAACAAATAACGAACTTCACAAACCAATCAACCAAACACATTCGAACTCTCTGTGTGTGTGGCGGTGATCGTTTGGCTTTCTCAGCTCTATTTACATTCCCTAATAGCTTTAGTGGCTAGACCATACACAACACAGGTTGTGGACATCAATTGCAACCAATAGTGTTTTCTAGCGGCTAGGAAGCTATGTGAAAATGCTAAGGCGCTCTGGGTGGGAAAATATGGTGAAATAGTGAAGCACAAAAGTATTAAGAAAGAATAAAAAGGCCTGAAGTACTCACCGTGTGCAGGATGGCGGACACTTGACCCATGTTGAATATTTTTTCAATGACTGCGTCTTGCGTCATTTCGCTTTTCCCTCTCATTTGGCTCTTGCCGATTTTCCTATACAGCGAGAGCTGCCAGGCGTTTTTGTCGGTAGGGTCGGTCTAAAATCAACATTAACTAAAGACATGCAGTACAGCAGCCTAGAAACTCTGGGGAATCGCCCACTCATAATGGACTCTCATTCCTCGCCTGAGGCTTGGCCCCGTTTTAAATAAAAATGATATGTTTGTGATTTCATTGTCATCACAATGCCCCCGTATCTTGCGATAGCGCCTTTATATACTCAAAGGCGAATTGGCGTTGATTTCATAAACATTTCTCAGGATAAGAAGGAGATGGGAGAACTGAATTGGTGTGGGAACGTCCTACCTTATAATATTCAAATAAATGAACTGACCTTCACAGGAATTTCTAGTAATCCTTTGATAAATTCCCGTATTTTATCCTCGTTTTCCTTTTGCAAAAATCGTTCTTTGGACTGCTGTACGATATCCAAGTTCTCTGAATTTGAAAGCTAATTTCTTAGATAAAGACTAAAGTAATGGTTTGTGCTTAATGGACATATTCGAATACAGCATAAGAACATTTCGAAGATGACCTGAATGCAAATATGGAATTATTCACGCATTATAGAGATTAAAGGCACAGGCGGTGATCAAAGCCTTGGAGCCATTTTTCGCGAGAACGAGATAGTAGAGTACGTGAGCAAGGATTTCAAAAGTGTTCACTCTCCCTTACACTGTAATACCTACACTGTAACCTAACCACCCTTACACTCTAAGATTCCGTATGGTATGGGACACTCCAAATAGGCGAAAGATATCGATGCCAAAATAGAGCCTCATCCTTTATGTTCCAAGCGCTTGATTTGATACATCATTCTTTGACATGAATTGGTGTTCGCAGCAGGTTGTACCTAGCAGCGAGGAAGACTGGAAGCCAGAGAAGCCTTCTACTGCTTATTCTACAATATAAAGGGGAAAATTGCAGAATTTCTGTGGAATTAAAGAAAAGTTCTCAAAAGCTCCCGAAAACTCGTACAGTTCCTATGCATTTTGAAGAGTTGTACTCAGCTAAACTTATCTATAGCTATACTCATCTCTTCCAAAATTTTACAGCTGATCTATCTAAATGCGAACCCCTCTCTCTCCCGCGCAGAGGAATCCTCGAGTTGGTTTACTCTAGTTCACAACCAGTGCATGTTTACCAGGACACCCACACTGTCAGCGCTGCCGCACATTACGAAACCATTTTTCATCAGTCTCAAAAACAAGCAGTGGCCCAGTGCCCTATTGTTTTCTCCAACATCGACATTATGCCTATAGTTGCGAATAGCGAGGTTTGCTCTCACGGTTCACCGGGGTGTGCTGGCGCCTACCGTAATTATCCGTCACGACCCTTCTCTTACGAGACCCTACCACTGCGATCGAGCGGAAAACTGCAGTCACCGTAAAGCATAATTTCAATCACCATGTTCCCCACCGTGCGGCGAACTATTTATTTCACCACATGGCCTCAGCTCTAGCAAACCAAGCAACTCTCCCGGCCGACTATTTCAGACGACCTGGTCCATGACCGCCTAGCGCCGGAGGTGATGTAGCGAGCACAGAGCGTGAAATCAGCTGGGTTGATTGCTGTATCGACTGTTGGCACGGAATAAATACTGTCTAGTAAGTCCGGAAAACCCGTTTGGGCACACCCTCTTGCAAGCCTGCCTCCTTAGTCACTGTTGGTTTAACGTTGAGCTTTATCGATGGCTTCTTCCCGTTCTTCTTCGCTGGCCTTAGATTTCGCATCTGCACTCATCTTTAAAGGAATCTCCATTACCACAGAAAAACGATACCCCTTAGGCCCCTAGCCTCATGAGCATAGCAAAAAGAACGGAACATAAGCGTTAGTTTCGATAATACTAATCCTACACACAAGACAAAATGATCACTCTTTCCGTGGAAGATTCCTTTAAGGTATCGTTTTCTGTGGTAATGAGGGCGGAGCTTTTTCCGTGGAAGATTCCTTTAAGCGCAAAAATAACTCCAAATCGATCCCGACCATGCCTTTAAGTTATTCGCACGTTCAAGATATCGGTGATTGATTCCTTATGAGTCAAATAAACATTAAAATTATTTCTCACCGTCCACCGAAGACGTTCAGGCCAACCGGTAGGAGCCTTTTCACGCATGCGATAACGATACTGTTCGCGTGCTTATCCTTTTTCACCTGAAATCCGTCAAATTGTTAATTATCAATATCAAACAAATCATAAGCCACGTTACCACAACCACATCGCACTACACAGAACTCACCAGACACTTTGGATCTCGTGCATCGCGCATTTTATCGAACTGATAGCGAAATAGTAACAAAGGCAAAACAACGAAACAAAATTGTACAAAAAAAACTGAGACATGGAAGAAGGAAGGCAGATGTAAACAAATACAGTTGAATAGTGAAAAAAAAAACAGAATATAAGTGTAGGTTTCAGAAATACGCAATACTTTGTTGAAGTGAAATTTAGCACTGAGGAAAAGCCTAGGCCGAAATCCATCATTGTCAAATATGATAAAAGAAATGGGCGCATAAGAGTCAGTGAGAGTTTTATTAGTAACTGATCAATTTTTTAGAAAAATGGTCGGTTTATGTCGATTTTATGGTTTAAAGTTGAGAGGCAAGAAGTTTTTTAGGGCCTGCCACAAGCTAGCCAAGCACCCTACGGCCGATCAACTTGTGCCAAGGAAACCAGCTAAATCTCAATGCATTTTGAAATTACTAGCTGCTGTTTTAACGCCGCAGTTCGCGTTGCGAATGTTTCACAAGAATGCTGGGTTGTGAACAAAACTTTCGCCCCAGGCGGGACTAGAACCCGCACCTCTCGCTTTCCGGGCAAGAGCGCTACAGTACCGATGCAGCTGATCGATTCATAACGTTAGACGTGTGGGTGCTGATAGCGTAGGTAAATATACATTGAAAAGCTGAGTTACGGCGAAACGGTGTCCGGTAGCGTAACTTGTAGAGCAGTTGCCCGGTAAGCGAGAGGTGTAGTTCCAAGTCACGCTTGGGGCAAAAATTTGTTCATATCCTTTTGTGCAATCTCAATACTGTAGTGAGAAGGCCAAGCACACCTAACAGCAAAACATGGAATTGCTCAAGCTGCCAAAATTGCTAAAGCAATACAGAAAACGTCGCTCGAGAACAACTAAACGTAAATACGTCTTTCCTCAAACTTCTATTCACACAGAGCTCCGCTTAGCTCAGGCACTTTTTCCTTGTTTTTCATAGATGGCGAATCAAAAGCACCTATAACTGGAGCCTTGAGCGCTCTACACCCAGGCTTAGCGTGAATTGGCTTCAGAACACCACTACCTCATCTTTTTTAGGCATATCGCCAAACCTTCACCATGAAAATTTATATAGGGACAAGGGAGGAAGTATTCATCCTGCGAAGTCTCAAAGGAAACGTTAGCGTTGAAACTATGTATTGGTGAGTTTTGATGGTGAGTGAAAGAATAGGAAACATATTTTCACTTCACAGAATTTGAATTGTTGATTCCAATTTGAAAAAGATGAAACACCGCGAAGCATATGTGTGTATGTAGGAACAGGATAGGATAGGAAATAGCAGAAACAGAAATCTTCCTTCATCAATTTTCGCTTCAAAAAGTTTTATACTTACTTGTCCTTCTCTCCTTTTCTTTTTTCGCTCGGCAATGGCTGCTTTGCCGGTCTTCATCTCACCACCACCGACCATTGCTGCGTCCTCTTCAAACTGTGCCATGTAGTTCAATTCTTCGCGCTAAAAAACGTGATCGAAATCTTCGCAAAAGTCTTCGCATGTCAGATCTTATGAA